GCCCGGCTCATTTTTGATTTATTGTAGGGATGAGGTCTCACCAAGTTGCCTGGGCGGGTCTCGAACCCGCGGGCTCAGGCCATCCACTCACCTCAGCCTCCCAAAGCGCGGGATTACAGGCTGAGCCACCGAGCCTGGCTTAAAAACAGTACTTGACACCCACTGACAAGGAAATGCACATTGAGGCCAGGCATGGTGGCACATGCCTGTAATCCTAGTGCTTTGGGAGGCCAAGGTGGGAGGATCACTTGAACTCAGGAGTAACGAGACCAACCTGGGCAACATAGCAAGACCTTGTCTTTACAAAAAATTTGAAGATTAGCCGGGCATAGAGGCACATGCCTGTAGTCCCAGCTACTCAGGAGGCTGAGGTGGAAAGACCACCTGAGCCCAGGAGGTGGAGGCCGTAATGAGCTGTGATCGTGCCACTGCGCTCCAGCCTGGGTGACAGAGTGAGACCTCAAAAAAAAGCCAGGCTTGGTGGCTCAGCCTGTCATCCCAGCACTTTGGGAGGCCGAGGCGATCAGATTGCCTGAGCCCACGGGTTCAAGTCCAGGCCCGACAACTTGGTGAGACCTTGTCTCTACCATAAATCAAAAATTAGCCAGGTGTGGTAGCACACGCCTGCAGTTCCGGCTACTTGGAAGGCTGAGGCGGAAGGATCGCCAGAGCGCAGCAGGTCAAGGCTGGGTTGGCTGTGACCATGCCGCTGCACTCCAGCCTGGACGGCAGAGCGAGACTCCAACTCAAAAAAAGAAAAAAAAGATGCTGAAATAAAATGAACGGAGCTCTCCGTTGAGTTTAGGCTGGGACCACCTATAGGAAAAGTAAACTAAGAGAAAAGACAGTCTGTGAGCTTTTATACTAACAGGTGACTTTCACTATTCAAATTGCTTTGCCTCTAGCTTTTGACGCTGTTGCATACTCTTTGGGCAGCCAACAGCATCGGTGGGAGGAGGTTGGCTTCAAGCAAAAGAAGCCATTCTAGTGGCTTTTTTCCCTGCCTCCCAGTCAGCTGCAGTGGCCCCTCGCTGAGTGGCCCAGCCCCTCGGCCACCACTGGCACGCTGCCTCACCTGTAAAGCTCACTCCATGGCCGCTGTGGCGCTGACACCAGCCCCCGTGGAGGGCAGGGTGGTTACGAGCCACACATGCCTCTTCCATCAGGAGTGAAAGTACTTGGAGAAGCAGCCACACATGGCCCCTCGCAGCTAGTGACCAGAAATGTCATCCCACTGCCCTGAGCTTCAGATAAAACAAATCTACCTTTTCCAGCCTTTAAAACAGAGGCGTACAATGGGAAGGGGTTTGGGAATCAGTGCTGGGATGTGCTGTGTCTGCTGCCATCTCTTGGGCTCCCACCAAACACCCATCACCCTTCCATGCTTACACTAGAGCACTCACCCTCGCCTGGGGAAGCTGGCGCCACGTCTCTGCCAGTTCCTGATTCTAGGCCACGTTTTCTGGTGACATACCACTTCCTCTGTCGGGTCCAAATGTGGCCCCGTGTGGCCCACACAGGTGTAGAGCTGTGAGAACAAGAGGTTGTGCACACCCCACGCTCAAGTCGACACTCAGACCTAATGGAGAGGGCCTTAATTTTTTGAGTTGGGGGGTCTCAATCTGTCACCCAGGCTGGACCGCAGTGGCATGATCACGGCTCACCCGCAGCCTCAAACTCCTGGGCTCAGGTGATCCTCCCACCTCAGCCTCCCGAGTCGCTGGGGACTGCAGGCTTGTGCCACCACGACCGGCTAATTGTTTTTGCTGAGAACGAGGTCTTGCTATGTTGCCCAGGCTCAAGCAATCCTCCTACCACGGCCCCCACAGTGCTGGGATGACAGACGTGAGCCACCCTTCCCGGCCCCTCTGGTCTTTAAATGCAGGATTTCTGCCCCGTGGCCGCTGGTCTCCGCCCAGTCCCTTTTCCCTTACCTTAATGTCTTGAGGCTGTTCAAGATCACCATTTGGGTGGGAAAGCAACACCTGAAGTCCACCTGTGCAAGACCACACGCTTGGCCCTAAACCGCGGAGGCGCTGCTGGACCCGTGGTTTCGTTTGAGTTATGGCAGGCTTTCCCGAGCCAGCCGGACTCTCAGTCTGGGGACCGTCGCTCCACCTCGATCGCAAGGCATAGCAGAGCAGGGTCCTTAGCAGGTCTGGGCTCTTCTTCTGTCCTCACACCAGCACTGGCCTGAGTGCACCGCCCCGCGGCAGGAAGATGCTGCAGCCCGCGCCCCAACACCGTGTTCCCGCTTTCCAGGCGTGCTGTGGTCTGGACACGTGTCCCAACTCTCAGGCTGAGACCCGGGCCCCCAGGCGATGGCAGCGGGCGAGGCCTTTGGGAGGTGACTGCACCATTGAGAACAGGACCCGTGCGCTTAGGAGAGGACCCCTAACCTGTCACAGGGGAGAAAGGGGGGGCAAAAACGCCGCAGCCCCTTTCCGCTACGCAAGGATGCAGGGAGAAGAAAGCCCTCTGTGGACCAGAAGGCACCAGCCCTGATTCTGCCAGGGCCCTGAGCTTGGACTTCTGACAGCCAGAAAGTGAGAGCTTCACATGTTTAGACGCCACCCAGCTTGTGGTTACCTGGCGTGGCAGCCTGGACTGAGACGTCTTCAGTATTTAATCCTCCTACAGTTGTCAACAGGTGCAATCACTTCCATCTCCTGATGTGGCAACTGGCCACTCGGCCACAGGAGCAGCAGGGTCGGGGTTGACACTGCAGCTGCCCAGGGGGTGGCTGACATGGCAGCATGCCTGTGTCTGTTACCTCCAACGCGAGTCTGGTCTCTAGTTCAGGGGAGACACCTGGACTCAATGCTTGGCCCCCAAATAACGAGGCGACCCACCTCGCGGCCTGGGGAAGCCGGGTCCTTGAGACCCCTGCCTCCCCCACCTCTTGGGACTTGCCGTTTGCGACTCCAGGTGTCGACGCGCCGAGCAGTCAGGGGGCCTCAGCTGCACAACGAAGAGCTCACTCTGGCTGCCTAAGCAGAAGGGGAACCCCACAGAAACCACCAGACAGGGAGCAGAACTGAGCAGGGCTCCACAGGCACCACCGCCTGGCAGGGACAGCAAGGCCTCTGCACGGCTGGCCTGGTGCTAGACTACCCTGTGCAGAAGGACCTGACCCAGGTGAGGACAGGCTTTTCACGAAGCTTCCGCCCAAGCAGAAGGTCCCAGGCATACGGCCCGACGTGACCCGCAGGACAGGCTGGGAGAGCAAGCTTCTAGTCTTTCAGGAGGAGGCGCGGAAGCAGGAAATCCGCCAAACAGGCAGGACTTTCCAAAGGTCACCGAGGGGCCTTTGGAACATCAACATCTATCGCACAGACCCCAGCCGTTGACACTGCAGCCCTAGTCACTTTTAACTTACGTGGAAATTCATATGCCGAAGTTAATCTGAGGATTAGTTTACACTGAAAATTAATTTCAAATGTCCCAAGCATTCACTTGCAGGAGACTGAGACATTATTCTGGTATCAGAAATTCACTACAAAGCGCCAAGTGACCAACGCAGCTGCGGGTAATTTGAAGAAGAGCAGGAGACCAGGGAGAGGGCCTTCACTAAATCACGCCCAAACAAGTAAAAAGCACGGTAGGAGTCGGCTGCATCCGTCTGGCTGTTGACACGAAAGCCTCCGAAGTACAAATAAACATTATCACGAAGGGCGATAACCAGAAACACCAGCACTACAAGTGGGCTGGACTCGCACCTCCTGCACACGAAGCCAGCCGCCAGGAGACTCAGCACGGCACACGTGGGCACAGCAAGCTCGTGCGTGGCGGCCGCTGGCATTCATATACCTAGTTTCACGGGTAGCGCCGTCTCCGTTTCTGATGGTCTCCTTCACCTCACATTCTTTAACCCAAACTTTTTTTATAGAACATGCACTTTTATCACAAAACTTGTCTTAATTCAACTTTATTCAAGAAAATACCACAAAAGATAAAATGGCATTCTTTTATTTATGTTAAATAAAACACGAGAAAATCCTTTTTTAAAAAGGGTCAGAATATTCCTTATGTCTCCAAACCACGTCCACGGAGGCAAAGAAACACTGAGTTCCTTACAACACTCCTGTAACAACCAAGAGACAACCCAGGTTCATGCCTTCCACTGCCCCTTCAGGAAAGTCACACGCAATTTGGGAAAGCAAGGAGCAGCCCACGGGAGCACCTTCTGGAAACACCCCTGCCTTGGCAGATGCCTGCTCAGCACTGAGCATCTTCATTTCCCCTTCTGTGGCTCTGCTAAGCCACACATGCTGCCGCACTTCAAGGACACAGCTGCTCGCAGCTCCAGGACATAGTAACTGGCAGTTCAGCTCACATGGCGGACGTGGATGAATTTTATAAATCTTAAAATTGCGTACAACGGAACCAACACTACTGCAAATTTTCCAGTAGAAACAGGACCCCAAGGAGCCGCAGCTCCAGAACACACTTGGGCACACACTTACAATGCACCTGCTGGGCTTTGAGTTAACTTGTTATTTCCAGTCTACCCTAAGACGATGCAGGAATGTCTGGAAACAAATGGATTCATGATTTCTATATCCATGCACTCCACGAACCCATCACAAGCCCTTCGGTCTGGTTGCATTTAACAACAAATGACTCGTCCGGCAGGCCATGCATGTCCCAATTCTTCACCCGGTTCAGGTTGTGAAGGAGCTTTTCTACCACTGGAATCACCAAGACCGGAATCGCCATGAAGAACTTCTCTGTTAGAGAAAGCGACATTTTCACCTCTGGCACACTGCCAGGATGATACTGTATTATAGAATGTATGAAACTGCAGTGCAATAACTTGTAGGCCTTAGTAAAAGGGAAAAAAGAAAACAAAAGATAATCTAATACACCCTATGTTCCCAAACTTTCTAGATTTTTTAGTGCAAGAAATGCTGCATCATTGAAGCACTTGAGGGTGACCATGAAATCCTGGGAAAAAATGAAACTCAGAAGTGGTGATAAAAAAGAGAAACAACCAGAGAGGCACACAGATCGCTGTTTGTTTTTTTAAAGGATTTTTATACTATATTAAAAAACCACAAAATAAAAAAAGGGACCAATCCACACGCATCTCAGAAGTCCTTCCGGAGTTTCGGTCTCTACAGCAGAGGCGTGGCCTTTCTCCTCCTCAGCTCAGCCTGCAGTTCACTGAAGGATCCCGAGAGATGGCTCATGCTCTCGTTTTTCAGGTCACACTTGTTCCGCCAAGTCCAAGACCCTGAACTTGTCCAAGTTATAGAAACAGGCTTTGACCACCCGGCCACCAAAATACCTTCCATTCAGGTCGACAACAGCTAGAAGGCAAGCAAAACACAGGCGTCAGTTCACACCTGTGTCCCGTAAGACATACATGCGCTCAGCTTTGACTATCCAGATGACGGCTGCAGCTGCAGCTCTCACATTCGCCACCGTCTGGCAGCACGGCTCACCTTTAATTGCGGACTCAACTCTCTCAAATTCTAAAAATATCCGCACTGCTTCATCATCAGGGGCACCCGGAATCTGGACAAGGAATGAAAGTGGAATGAGTGAAACCATCGTTGGAGGCGTCACTGAGTGTGAGCTTTCCTTTGAAAGATCGTCAGGGTGACTGCTCCAATCCTCTTCACATACAGCCCGGCACAGTGTGGGTATCAGAACACAGCGAGGCTCGGGAAGGCCCTACGCCGGCTGACGTGCAAATAATTCTGCGGTCAGCAACGTGATCAAGAGAGAAGCAGAAACAGGAGCACGTTAAGATAAAGAAGGCCCCGGGCTGCCTTTCACACCGGCCTACGTGCGGAAGAGCTCCGTCCACCATGCCCAGCCTTCCACAACTCAGCTCGCCCCACCCAGGCACTCCTGAGCCTCCTGCTCCCAAACTGTTAGCCCAATCCTCCCCGCCCTCAAATCCTACCTGTTCATCTCAAAGCGCAGCTCACACCTCTGCTGTTCACACAGCCTCCTCCAGCTATTTTTTGGGGATGGGATCCTTTTCTCAACCCCTGAACTTGTGGTGAACGTGACCCAGTCTGGCAACTGAGGCACCTCTAGGTATCTGACATGTGTCTCTGAGCTGAGCACAGAGAATGCTTTCTGTAAGCCACGTGCTCTCAGGACAGGGCCCTGAACGTGACAGGCACCGGGTAAACTCGTACCAGACGACTGACACCAAAGGCATGTCTAGGGAACGCAACACTGAGCAGCCCACAACCAAGGCCTGCAGTCACCGCTCTAATTCCCAGCCATCGATCGACCACTGTGATGACTTCACCACGTGAAACGTGAACTCACTCTTGTTGTGAAGTTCCACAACTGAGCAAGAGACGCACAACCGACCGCTACATCCCGCCACCCTCTGCCTGGAGGCAACCCGCTACCCGCAGCAGTGCCTGTCCTAGGTGTGGAGTCCTTTGTCATCTGCCAGTTACAATTTGGATCAAAAACGTCAAAAGTTTCCTCTTACTTCAAATATCACACACTTTCCAACTTTGCCATATTTTTCACATTCCTCCTTGGTTTCCACTTCCAAATCTTCATCCACCTCTCCTGCACCAACCATGTTCTAGAAACAAAAAAACAAATTCAAGCACCAAGTGTAACTTACAGATATACAGCAGAGATCTATACGTAAGACTTTCTTGCACAATGGCAAACATTCTCAATGCCAAGTGACAATGGAAAACGTACCCCAAACTTGGTATTTCTTCAAACACCAAACCACACATTAACCTCTGTGAAGAGTGACAAGAGCATTTATACAAGCACCAAAATACATAAACTAAGCCAAAGTTTTGGCAACTTCAAGTAATTTAAAGAAATCGCTTCAGTCGCAATACTGTATTTAGCAAAGAAACTTAGACATCAGTGAAAAAGGAATCTAAAATCAGCCTTATACGGGTTTTGCTCAAAGGCATTATTTCCCATTTTCTTGAACTTTCACGATACCGTAGGAGCGGAGGCAGGGGGCAGGGTGGGCTGGGGGAGCCCAGGGATCCAGGCAGGCAGACGCACGCTCTCCTTCGCTTCTTACCCTTAGCAGGACCACTTTAGTCGGACACTTAAGTATTTCAGTCAGCGGATTTGAATCTGACTTCTTAGACGCATCTGTATCAAAACACATCACGGGAAACATCACAGTACGAGCCCCACTCCTGACGAGCAGCCCCCACCTGCGTCCCGGCCACTGCGGCCTCTGTGCAGTCAGGCCCACACCGAGAGCACCTGCTCACTTCGGTGCATGTTTCCACAGCGACACCTGGAAGTGCTTCGCTCCCACCAAGACCAGGGATGTTTGCTCATTTCACTTCCTAAGGGGCTGGCAGAGCAGAGATGTCACAACTTGTACCAGGGAGTCCTGACTTGGAACAACAGGTCCCGAGCCCAAGGGAACAAGCAGTCAATTATCCAGCCCCCGGCTGGCTGAGCTCAGACCCCCTCCAAGCCGGGGTGCCTGCTGGCGTTGGCGCTAACCTGTCGAGCTAATGGCTGCTCCCAAGTGCGCGCCAGGGTGCATGGTTGCCAGGAGTTTCCTCCTGAGGAAGTGGAGCTCAGTGGAGCAGACGCACACTCAGCTCCGATTTCCGGCTTAGGTCGCACATGCCATCCCTACACCCCCAGCACAGGATGGACTGTGAACACTACGTGCGTGTAAAACACCAGCCAGGCCCATCGACCAGCAGACTGCAAGGGAGCAGCCGACCGAGGGGCAATCTGCAAGAAAATCAGAATCCCCTCGATAATGAAGGGCAGGAAGGGGACATGTTGAGCGAGAAGACCTGAGATGGAGACGGTCACGGCACGCTGTGGGTGGCTCGGTCCTCTGTGCAATCATGAGCCCGTGATGGTCCTGAGTCAGCAAGGCTCTTGGCACTGCCCATGCACTGTCCTGCGGGCTGTCCCTTTTCTGCCCAAACCCCTCATCATCGTCTTCTCCCACGGGCCTTCATCTCTCTACCTCTGTTCTGAACCAGCAAACACGAGCCCGGGTTCTTGGTTTCACACAACCCAAGTGGCCAAGCCCTGCGATCAGAGCGCCCACGTTCTAGGAAGACGGGCCGGTCCTCTCCCTCTGGCCGCATCTGCCCCCATTCCCTCACGGACACATCATGATCAAAACAGACTGTGTTGCATGAGAAGGGGGACCACAAAAAAACCGGAATCGCCTTGGGGAGGGCGGGCCCTTGTCACGTGAGCTTGTCGCATCCGCCTCATTCTGAGAGGCTGTTGGCTTTAGTGAGTGTTTTGTGGAGCTTCTTTCAACGCATTTGCCCATGTCACAAGGGGTGATTTACGAGCACACCTGCCCACTGGGCTGAGTGTTCAGCAGTTTCTGGCCAGAAACGATCTGGCCCCTGGGCTCCCCCCTCCCCCGTCACTCGATCTCGCCCCGTGTGACAAGTGTGTGGCATCACACGGGGAGTGCTTCAGACACACAAGAATGCACCGTTTCTAGGAAACAGATTCCGGGTTTTTTGGGTCCGCCCGCATAACGACGGCGCGCCAGCCCTCTCCCTTGCCGTGCACTTGCCTGGGGACTCACCCTTCTCCGCGGCGTCACCCACAATGATCTTGCCGCCGCGCTTGCTTGTCTTCTCCACCGACAGGGCGGTGCTCAG